TTATATCTTTATCAAATTTAGTGTAAAGATGCCAGGTGTAGTGGCTCACGCCTATAATCCCAGCACTTTGGGAGGCCAAGGCGGGTGGATCACTTGAGGTCAGGAGTTTGAGACCAGACTGACCAACATGGTGAAATCCCATCTCTCCTAAAAGTACAGAAATTAGCTGTGAGTGGTGGTGGGCACCTGTAATCTCAGCTACTCGGGAGGCTGAGGCAGGAGAATCACTTGAACCCTGGGAGGCGGAGGTTGCTGTGAGTTGAGATCGCACCATTGCACTCTAGCCTGGGCGACAAGAGCGAAATTCCGTCTCAAAAAAAAAATAAAAAATTATTATAAGTTTTACTTGTAAGAGGAACGTAGTAGTAGGACACAGCTTGAGTCTTAGAAATACTTTAAGTTATTACGTGTTCTCTTGTTTATATCAAAATTATTAGGTCTTTACTACATTTATTTATTGTATTCTTTTTTCTTTTTGTATTGCTGTTGTTAATTCAGACATTCTGAATTGAGTGACATAGTCATTTTTCCCTTTGGATGTCAAGCATTATAAGTAGCCATTGCATGGCTGGACGTGGTGGCTCATACCAGTAATCCTAGCACTTTGGGAGGCCGAGGCAGGTGGATCACCTGAGGTCAAGAGTTCAAGACTAGCCTGGCTAACATGGTGAAACCCTGTCTGTACTAAAAATACAAAAAAATTAGCCTGGTATGGTGGCAGCTCCTTTAATCCCAGCTACTTGGGAGGCTGAGGCAGGAGAATAGCTTGAACCCAGGAGATGGAGGTTGCAGTGAGCCGAGATTGTGCCATTGCACTCCAGCCTGGGCAACAGAGCAACAACTCCATCTCAAGAAAGGAAAAGAAAAAAAAAAAAAAAAAGAAAGAAAGTAGGCAATGCATTAGATAATTTCTCCCTTTTTCTTATTGCTCAAATGAAGGCAACAAATACGGGATATATGGAACTGTTGACAAAGGCTGGCATACTGATATTCTCAGCCTTCTAAATTTCAAGTTTAATGTTGTTGAAGGCTGGCAATACAGTAATTACTTTGTTCGTGATGCTATAAAGATACATGTTAATAGGGAAGGGTATGAGCTGGAAGTCTCAGCATGGAACTGAGTCAGAATCATGAGGTTGGAAGTGACTTCTGGTCTTTTCTGGCTACATATAAAGTCATTTGATCACTACTTTTTGGCTTTATTCATGAAATAAATAGTACCAATTTAATAATGACAGCTAACATTTATCAACTTTATATGCCACACTAAGTACTTTTTACATGTACTGTTAGCTAATGATTGTGACCTATTAGCTGCCATGTTATAAAAAATAATGCAGCATTTTGTGTGATGAGAGCTGTTTTCTCCTTGATTTGTGGTTGGTTGCTAATGCATTAGGATACACTTATTTGTAAACTTTCTCATATTTAGGGTGAATTGATTTTTCTAGATGTTGTAGTAAAGGCATTCTTGTAAAAAGCCATTTTTTTGTCTTTCTATATTGTAGAATTGCAGTATGTTAGAAGTACTTGAGGTGGATGATCACTTCTTAAAAAAAAAAAAGAAAGACAATTACTCGATATACTCTCAAAGGGATCATGATTTCTAGAACTGAACACTGTCCTGAAGCCTGGAGAGAGCCAGGCGTTGTGGGTATAGAGTGGGTCTAAACTGTGGGCCAGAGCCATGAAGGGGTTGGGAGTAATGGAAACCTACTTAGTCTTGGCTGCATCTTTAACGGCTGCATTTTTGTTTTGTTGATTCATTTGTCTCAGTTCCTAATTATCAACACATTAATGTTGAGAGGTATGGGTGTTTTGGTTATGTGTGCATTTTGGTAGAAGGTAGGGATAGGAGGGGATACATCTTATTAGAGAAAAATAAGAACGGAGGGATTTTGGTTTTTCTTTTTCTTTGATTCCGCGGAGCCCTTTGTTACACTAATCAGTAGCTACTAGTAATACTAAAGTGTTACGTCGAAAAGTTGTTTAACTTACTAAACAATGTGGATTTAACAATAAAAATACCAGTAAAATTAGCACAGAGAACAGATTTCTTTCATGATTTCAAATGGTAATATGAGATAATTGCACATTTTTTCCTTCCAATGGATTTCTCATCCCTTTTTCTCAAAGTTTTATCAAACCTTCTGTTGACCAGAAGTTGTTGCTTTGACTTAGAGACCCTACGTGTTTGTTCCTTAAAATAATTACCATTAATGACATGGAACTCAAACCAGCAGTCATCCTGTTTCTGCAATGATTGCACTTATACTATTAAATCTATAGTGAGGCTAGTTTCAAGATCTCATGGGAATGAACACATAGAGATACTTCTCGACTTAACCATGGAGCTATACCCATTATAAATTGGAAATATCATTAAATGCATTTAATACACTTATGGAACATCATAGCTTAGCCCAGCTACCTTAAATGTGCCCAGAACACTTATATTAGCCTACAGCTGGGCAAAATCTTCTAACAGAAAACCTGTTGTTGACAAAGGCTGGCATACTTATATTCTCAGCGTTTTAAGTTTCAGAAGGTTTAATATTGTTGAAGGCTGGCATTATAGTAATTAGTTTGTTCATGATGCTATAAAGATACATGGTAGGCTGGGCACGGTGGCTCATACATGTAATCGCAGCACTTTGGGAGACCGAGGCAGGCAGATCACCTGAGGTCAGGAGTTCAAGACCAGCTTGGGCAACATGGTGAAACCCTGTCTCTACTAAAAATACAAATACTGGCTGGGCACAGTGGCATGTGCCTGTGATCCCAGCTACTTGGGAGGCTGAGACAGGAGAATCACTTGAGCCTCGGAGGCGGAGGTTGCGGTGAGCCAAGATTGCGCCACTGCACTCCAGCCTGGGTGACAAGAGTGAGACTCCGTCTCAAGAAAAACCCAAAAAAGATATATGGTAATAGGGAAGGGTATAAGCTGAGAGTCTAAGCATGGAACTGAGTCAGAATCATGAGGTTGGAAGTGACTTCTGGTCTTTTCTTGCACATACAAGGTGTCATTTGATTACTATTTTTTTTTTTGTTACTCATTAAATAAATACCACCAATTTAATAATGACAGCTGACATTTATCAAGTTATAATAAAATGTTGTGTATATCATGTAATTTATTGAATCCTGTAGTGAAAGTTGAAAGTGAAAAAGAGTGGTTATATGAGTACCATAATAAAATGGAAAAATTGTAAGTGAAACCATCAGTTTGAACCATCTGTATTGGTTTTAGTTCATTGTCAAAGAAATACGTATCTGCATAGAAGAGAACTTTGAGAAGCATATGGAAGGCTGGGTGCGGTGGCTCATGCCTGTAATCCCAGCACTTTGGGAGGCCGAGGTGGTCGGATCGTTTGAGGTCAGGAGTTCGAGACCAGCCTGACCAACATATGAAACCCCGTCTCTACTAAAAATTCAGAAATTAGCTAAGTATGGTGGTGCATGCCTGTAGTCCCAGCTACTTGGGAGACTGAGGCAGAAGAATCACTTGAATATGGGAGGCAGAATTTGCAGTGAGCTGAGATCGCACCACTACACTGTAGCCTGGGCAACAGAGCGAGACTCTGTCTCAAAAATAAAAAAGCATATGGAAGAAATTAATGGGCCCTAATTTTGTTACTCATACATAAATCATTGGCACATTTTTTCCAGTCTTTTTTTTCTATACATTTTAAAAATCAGCTCTTAATTAAATTGAGTGAGTGATTGGGAGAGGGGATAGCCTTCAAAGATAATCTCAGATCTTGATTAAAATTGTAGGCAAATCATCGTTATCTGGAGTGACTTGTAGCAAGAAACTTGGACCTCTGCTGGCCTAAGTAGTTAGTGGTTGATTAGGACTAACTGATACCCCCTAAAGGGATTATGGTCATAGCTTTAAGGCTGGGATGCTGTTGGGGCAAAAGAGGAGATCAGGGGTTTGGACAGCTGGACCTCCTATCTTATGCTTCAATCAAAAGAATCCTTGGGTTTGGTCAGGGAAGGCAATCATTTAACCAACTGAGTCCAAATTATAGTGTCCAAAAAGTAAAAAAAAGTCTGCTAATCCCCGCACACCATGATCAATATTGAAAACATGGAAGAAAACCAGATTATCTCTCAGTAATTGAGAGTTCATATAGAATGTACAGTTCTGTATCATCTCTCTATGAATGGGTTTTTGATTATGATCTCAGTATAATGGTAATGGATCATTTTGAAGTTGGAAGAATAGTTCAGTCTGGTATGGCTGCACTTATTAGGGAACCTATTAGATTCTGCTTGTGACATTTGAGAGAACTGGGAAATAGCAAGATTGGCAGTGGGTTCATGTGTGGGATAATTAGCTCAAATAATCCAGTATTTAACAGTTCTAAAATTGAATTGCTATTCAGTTGCACAAAGGCACTTTAGAAGCTCTTTTTTTGTGGGGAAGTTGGTCTTATGTGATTCTCTGTATATTTGTGGTTTCACTTTACATGACTCATTTACAGTTGTGTATTAAGTCTAATAGAAGGGTCTTACTTTTTTTTTTTTTTTTTTTTTTTTTGAGACAAGAGTCTCACTCTGTCACCCAGGCTGGAGTGCAGTGGCGTGATCTCGGCTCACTGCAACTTCCGCCTCCTGGGTTCAAGCGATTCTCCCGCCGCAGCCTCCTGAGTAGCTGGGATTACAGGCACCTGTCACCATACCTGGCTAATTTTTGTATTTTTAGTAGAGATGGGATTTCTCCATGTCGGCCAGGCTGGTCTCGAACGCCTGAGCTCAGGTGATGCACCTGCATTGGCTTCCCAAAGTGCTGGGATTACATGCGTGAGCCACTGTGCCTGGCCTGTCTTACTTTTTTTAACATTAGAATATCCTAGCATATGGTGGATTTTTGGAAGAGACTTGACTACTTGTTTCATGTATAGCAGTGTGCAGCTGGAATACTAATTTATTGTTTTATAAATTTATTTATAAATAAAAGTTATTACTTGTTAACTAGTATTTTTTTCCCCCAGTTTCTCTTCAGCAACGGGTAGCAGAATTGGAAAAAATTAATGCAGAATTTTTACGTGCACAACAGCAGCTTGAACAAGAATTTAATCAAAAGAGAGCAAAATTTAAGGAGTTGTATTTGGCTAAAGAGGGTAAGTTCATAAGTCTCCCACCACCTTCAATGCGAAAATGGCCTCAAAGTGTTGAGTTTCTTGGTAGTAGTGTTAATTTTATCATTGAATAAACCTTGATTTTATTTGTACTTGCATAATAAAAGAATACTGTTTAAAGGCCAGATTAAGAATGAGATTGAAAAAACAAGTTGAAAAATGCCTTCTTCAGATTTTGCCTTGTTTTTTGATCTTACTGTTGATATTTAGGTTGCATAGCCTTGAGATAAGAGACGGTCATTGCTCTTACACTTGAGATGCAGTTGTGGGCAAACTAGGATTGTTGGCATTCTAATAACATCTTTAGCTATGTTAACTTTAATTCCGTGAAACATCAGTTTTACCCAACAAATATTCAGTTGTCAATAAATATTTATTTAATATCTACTATGAGGCAGACATTATACTTATGTGTTGGGTATACAGAAGGAGCAGAATTCATGTGGTTCTTAAACTTGGTTGAACTCAATGAGCCAAACAGATGTTAAGTAATTGTGTGATGAGTTGTTAAAAAGGAAATTGCAGGCCGGGCGCGGTGGCTCATGCCTATAATCCCAGCACTTTGGGAGGCCAAGGCGGGTGGATCACCTGAGGTCGGGAGTTCGAGACTAGCCTGACCAACATAGAGAAACCCCATCTCTACTAAAAATACAAAATTAGCCGGGTGTGGTGGTGTGTGCCTGTAATCCCAGCTACTCGGAAGGCTGAGGCAGAAGAATCACTTGAACCCAGAAGGCAGAAGTTGAGGTGAGCCGAGATTGCGCCCTTGTACTCCAGCGTGGGCAACAAGAGTGAAACTCCATCTCAAAAAAAAAAAAAAAAGAAAAAGGGAAACTGTATCAGGAAAATACATGAGAGAACATGGTGGGGGACCTAATTTGAAGGATCAGGGAAGGGGCTTGCATTCTGAGTACTGACCTAGAATAATGTGGATATGGCTTCCACAGCTCTCTAGACCAGTGGTTCTCAAAGTGTGGTTGTGGAACAGCATCATCATCATTATCATCACCTGGGAAGGTTGTTAGAAATGCAAATGTTTGGGTCCCACCCAGATTTACTGAGTTAGAAACTGTGGAATTTGGGTCCAGATGCACACTAAATTTTGAAAACTGCTCTATTCTATAATAGAATAGTGGCTCTCAAATTCCAACATGGATAAAAATCACCTGGAGAGCTTGTTAAACCACAGTATGTTTGGGTGGAGCCCAGAAATTTGCATTTCCAATAAGCTCATAGATGATTCCAGTTACTGCTAGTTCAAGTACTACAGTTTGAGAAATCCTGTTCTAGACTAGTGATCATGCAGCTTTTTTAACTTGTGAACTCTGTAAAATATATACTTACAACCTTTATACGTTTTAAAGTTGATGTTTAAAATTTTTTGCTTGTGAAGGATATAAGTTTTATATTGTTGATATTTACAATTTAAATGAAAACTTCGTGCTTTTTTTTTTTTTGAGATGGAGTCTCGCCCTGTTGCCCAGGCTGGAGTGCAGTGGCGCAATCTCAACTCACTGCAACCTCCGCCTCCTAGATACAAGCGATTTTCCTGCCCCAGCCTCCCGAGGAGCTGGGATTATAGGCATGCACCACCACGCCCCACTAATTTTTGTATTTTTAGTAGAGACAAGGTTTCACCATGTTGGTCAGGCCGGTCTCAAACTCCTGACCTTGTGATCCGCTCTCCTCGACCTCCCAAAGTGCTGGGATTACAGGCATGGGCCACCGCACCTGGCCAACTTCGTGCTTTTAGACATATCCAGTGGAATGAAAATATCAGTGATTTAATGTCCATTGTCATCTGTTTAACAAAAAAACACATGAATAGCTTTTTAGCAGAAATTTTACAGTGGTTTTCCTCCTTGAGTTTTCTTCTTTACATCTCCTTTAGAATTTTGTTCTTAAAAATGGTTTTGGAATTTGAATGTGCATTTGTTTCTTTTTCTTTTTTTTTTTTTTTGGAGACCGAGTCTCACTCTGTTGCCCAGGCTGAAGTGCAGTGGTGTGATCTTGGCTCACTGCAACCTCCGCCTCCCGGATTCAAGCGACTCTCGTGCCTCAGCCTCCCTAGTAGCTGGGATTACAGGCCCATGCCTCAATGTGCTGTCTCAAAAGAAATAAGTTCTGTCTGGTTATTCAGTATCTTTATATGAATGTATCCTCTCCCTTTTAAAATTTGTTTATGCTTTTGAATTAATCAAGCACCACTGTCCTTCTGCAATGGTAAATTCTTGTCAAGATGACCTGTAAAACATTCGATGTATATATAAAAGGTTGTAGTAGTATTTTCTCTGATGATCAGTTGAAACCCAGCAGTATGATGCTGGCTAATGATACCCATTTTCTCCTTTACCTCTTATACCAAAACCTCTGTAGCTTGTTCATCCTGTCTACAGCTAATTGAAGTCAATCTTGTCTAAACCTTGTTTGTTTTGCTTTCTTTTTCTGTGTCTCCAGTAAAGCTGTTAGGGTTCCTTCATTTTCTTATTTTCTTTGAAATTATAAAATTGAATTTTCCCAAAAATTCTGAAGAAATGAAAATGACCAAGAACCTCCCATTTCTGAAATGCATTATCAACTGCAGTTTTAGATCTGTGAATTAAAGAGCTTGTAACATGAGTTGGTTCAAAAACCATGCTTAGTTTGTTAAAATTTCATTGATGACATCTAAACGCAGTAAATAGTCTTTTTGTGTACTGTTGTATCTTTACTGTCCAAAGCGGTCAATAAACTTAGCTGGCCATAGCAAACAGTTGGGGTAGCTTTTTACAAAATTTCAAAAAAATACTGTGATCCTTTTTGAGAGTTTTTGAGAGACATTCGTAAAGAAAATGCATAGTATATAAAAGGTCATATGCTGATTACTTAGTTTTTGTCTTGGCTGTTAGCCTATATCATAATAAAAATCAAATGTGAAGATTTCCCCTGAGACAGCAGCTTTTATTGTATCTACTGTGAAGTCTAAATCTAGTCTTTAATGATTGCCACAGGTGTTTACAGTATAAACCAGGATTTTGATGTGGACAGCAGTCTTTGTTTTATCTTTCAGGAAAACCAGGTCAAGGTAACTCTGAAAGTCCAAACATTGGTTTTTTCCCAATAGGTCCAGCTTTTGCTTTAGTGTTGTAATAGCTGTGTTTGCACTTGTTTGGAGAATAGCTGAAATATAAGTGCAGACGGTAATGAGAAATGTACCTTTTTACTTCTCTTACTGTCTGTTCTTTTCTTAGTACCTATTCTTTTTTTTTTTTTTTTTTTTTGAGATGGAGTCTTGCTCTGTCGCCCAGCCTGGAGTGCAGTGGCACGATCTCGGCTCACTGCAGCCTCTGCCTCCCAGGTTCAAGTGATTCTCCTGCCTTAGCCTCCTGAGTAGCAGGGACTACAGGCACTACAGCCACCACACCTGGCTAATTTTTGTATTTTTTAGTAGAGAGGGGGTTTCACCATGTTTCCCAGGCTGGTCTTAGTACCCATTCTTTTCCAAGCCGACTTTAGCTGGGAATGTTATAAATATTTCTGAAAGTTTTATTGCTTTTCTGTTGAAGTATTTTCTGATTTAGCTTTTCTTTAACTACAGAGCTTGGCACTACAGCAGTGTTTGTTTTGTGCTCTGGAAATTTGTCGTGTTGCCAATGAGTAAGAGACGGTTACATGAAACACAGAACAAAAGGCCATATAGTTCTCAGTCTGACAAAAAATAGTAGGAATAGAGCTTATAGCTAATCACCAGAAGACACTGAAGTTTTCTACTGGTGTTCAGAAAGTCTTTATACATGGTTGTAATTTATATATAAAGCTGTTATGCTAACTAATCAGAATTTCAATAGTGAAAAACTAGATATAGGAAGCTATCTGTGGTTCCAGTGTCATAAACTTGCACTTAGATATGGAAATGAAAACAATATATAAAATTAACAATTAAGACCCATTAGTAATACTGTAAACAAACGATTAGAAATTTGTGTTTGCTAATAGATTTAATCAGTAGAGACGATACAGAGATTTTAGTAAATTAGAAAGCAATACTGAGGAGTTCTCCCTCCTAGTGAGACAAAGAAGGAAATATGAAAGAACATAAAGACATAGAGGATGAATTGAGAACCTTCAACACACATCTGAAAAGAGTTCCAGGGGAAGAGAATGGAAGGGATAGTAAAGAATATTGGAACAGATAACTTAGATTTTTACTAATAAAAAATGTGAGTCCTTAACATCAATACTGACTACTAAACAGGATAAATAATAGTAAATTCAAGCCGAGTGTGGTGGCTCATGCCTGTAATCCCAGCACTTTGGGAGGCTGAGGCGGGTGGATTACTTGAGGTCAGGAGTTTGAGACCAGCCTGGCCAACATGATGAAACCCCACCTCTACTAAAAATACAAAAAAACTAGCCGAGCATGGTGGTGCACATCTCTAATCCCTGCTACTTGGGAGGCTGAGGCAGGAGAATTGCTTGAACCCAGGAGGCGGAGGTTGCAGTGAGCGTAAATTGTACCACTGCACTCCAGCCTGGGTAACAGAGTGAGACTCCATCTCAAAAAACAAAACAAAACAAAAAATAGTAAATTCATACCATGGCACATCTTTTATATGATAGAACATCAAGAATCAAAAGAAAATGTGAAAAGCTACCAGAGAAAAGAAACAATTACAGGAGATACTTTGCAAGCACCATAGATGCCAGAAGACAATGAAATAAGATCTCCAAAGTGCATAGAAAAAATAACTGTCAACCTAAAATTTTATATGCTGCTAAATTATTTAAGAGTGAGGGCAAAATAGATATTTTAGGCATATAAAAACTAAGCACTTAGCCATCTATGTAATCACTAAAAGTACTGCTAGTAGGCCAGCTGCGGTGGCTCACGCCTGTAATCCTAGCACTTTGGGAGGCTGAGGCGGGCGGATTGCTTGAGTTCATGAGTTTGAGAACAGCCTGGGCAACACGGTGAAACCGTGTGTCTACTAAAATACAAAAAA